GGGGGGGGGGTCGTTCTAACAATCACGCTATCGGTGCCTTAGGTAGCGAACTGCTAGGGACAATTAGCAAACTTTCCAGGACGCCTTAGGTCCTGGACAGGTCATTGTAATCTTACGGGTCGCCTAGGACAGGGACACGGGGGGGGGGGATATGGTTCTTCTTCGCAGAACGCCTTAGGTCCCCTCAGCTTGGTCGACCCCTAGGGCAGGTCATTGTAATCTTACGGGTTTGCCAGCTTGGCTGCGTCGAGGTGGAGGTCGGCCTAAGCGAGGTGTTCCAAGCTAACTTTCCAAGCGGGTCTGTCGATTCGGCGTTGAGGTGTTATCTGGGAGCCATGTGTCGCTAAATGACTAGGAGGACCAAATTACCCCTCATCAATTGTCCCCCACTCTCGAGCCAGTGTTAGCTCGGCGAATAGAGTAGCTCTTAGTGTGGGTAATTGGCCTAGCTAGTTCATAGGTCATCCGACTCGCTTTGTAACTAGGTCCCAAGCTGAGTGAACTGCGACCCTATTTTTGAATTTCGAATATGACAGGAGAAGAGGGCGCGCGCAGGAAGGATTTCAGAGAGGTGTGCGATTTGAGCGAGCTAATTTTTCTAATTTCAAAGATGGGCACGCTCGGCAGGTGCACAAATTTGGATTTCAAATCTTCCCGCGTGTGCTGCTAGTTGTAATCCCGTTGTCAACGTGCTCTGGACCGTTGATCTACATTTGGAGGACCATAAGTATGGGGTCCCACATTGAGGTCCCCACTCAAACTGTTCTTCTCTTGGAGTTTTCTGGGTACTGCGCTTGGCGAGCTGAATTGGTCTATTAGTCCGAGCTCTGTTTCTTGTTGGTCCGAGTCCTACCGTCGTCATCTTCAGTTTTCCTTCACTTTTTCCAGTGAGTACCCTAGTTCTCGCAATGTCTGATATTGAGTCTGAGGGTAGGCTGCCCGATGATAGGTCGGAAAGCAAGGCGAGCTCCTCGGGGGAGGGCTCAATCGGAGTATACTATGATGATTGTTTGGTGGAAAAAGACATGAGGTTGAGGAAGTAATAAATATATTTGAACTGATTGAGTTGACTGGGGAGGAAATAGTCGGGCTCTATTACAGGTATCAAATCCCCAATGAGTACTGCCGGATCAAGCCGGTTGCTGACCATTATCCATGGAATCATTGGGTCAGCTCGCCCCCAATGTAGTCTGAATTCTGGTTGGGCTGATTAGTTTGTGTCACCATCGGAACTTCCCGTTGAGTCTGGAGGTCTTTTCCACTTTGGTTCATATGAAGAGGATCTCCGGTCCATTATGCTTTTACCTTCCCTTTCGCAACGGGAGGAAGGTATTAGTTGATTTTCCCAACAAGGTCAAGGGGTGGAAGAAGAGATTTTTCATTCTTGCCAAGGATGGTGGTTGGGGCATGGACACTACTTGGTATAGCACTTGCCGGAGTGTCGCTGAGAATTAGGATGTCGAGCTTCTGGTTGCGCTTCCTAAGCTCATCCAAGAAAAGGTTCAGGTAGAAGGGCTTCTGGTGGAGCCCATGCTTGTTCAAGTTGGCCTGAGTCGTGTAGGTAGGTGGGCCGTTAGGGTGTAGCGTCTACATTTCGTGCTTCTTCCTTTTGTGTATATGTAGTCGTTTTAACAGTTTGTCATTTCTCAGATATGACGAGCTTGACTTCTATGATGAACATTGACAAAGAGAGGAGGTCGGCTAGGAAGAAACGGAGGGCGGAGCGTCATTCTTCTGTCGAGGGAACCTCAACCAGTGCCGAGGTGAGGTCACCCGGCTCTGCTCCTCCCGTCGTTGACCTAGAGGGAGATGACAAGATGATGTGTACTGATCAGTACCCGACCCTTGCCACCTTCCAACCTCAGGTCGACTAAGAGGAGCAAGAGGTCCAACCTTATGTTGAGGACATTCCTCCCTTTATCCCCTGCGTTGCTAATGTCTTAGTGATAGATCGGTTGTACTACCCTTGTGTGGACCTTCGGATAGCCCAGGGGATGCTTCTCCCTAAAAACATGCGCCATTACAGCGAGCTGGATCCTGTCAATGTCGGAGCTCGGATGACTTAGTGCATCATGCAGGTTTGTCTTCTTTTAGAGTTTCTTGATCATTGCCTGCTTGCTGGATCGCATCCATTATGGGCAGAATGAGAGTGCCAACATGCAGGCGAGCATTAGCTCGCTTCAGGCCAAGATGTAGAGGCTTCGGGTTAACATAGAGGGGTAGTGTCAGCGCTTCCATGAGATGAACCAGAATTTGCAATGCAAGCTGACCGAGGCGCAACGCGAGCTGGAGGAGAGGCGATCGAAATATACTCAAGATTCAAGACATGCTTCAAGTTGGGTAGAAGGCTATTGCTTGTTTCTTGGAGTCCTTAGAGTACGAGAAGAAAAGGGCGGAGGACGACATCCATTTAATGAAGAAGGGTTTCAAACTATGTCGCCGCTACTTGAAGTCATTGTATTCTTCTCTTGATTTTGGCTCCATTTCTGTGCGTAGTGTGTCGGACAAGCTCGTCATGTAGGTGGATAAGGAGCCCTTGAGGCCTAGGATGATGATGGTGGTGAGTAGCTCAACCCTACAACTTGACTGGTCTAGTGGTGGTGGTTTTTCTATTATTTCTGGGTGCCGGTGCGCTCCTATAAGCTTTTCTGGGGCCTGTGTTCCCTATTGATGTCCGAACTGCTGAACTCCCTTTCTTTCTTTCTTTCTTTTTTATGCTTGTATGGCCATTTGACCTTCTTTTATCTCTTCAATGGAACTTGATATTTTCACAACGTAGCTTTTGCCCCTTGTTCATTTAGCTCGGTCGGTTTGTCATTACACTGGTCGAATATAACTCTGTAGTTTTAACTCGTTGATATTTGCTTTATGTAATTCTTGGTCGAGCTATAGTCTAATCTTCGATGAGTTTTAGCGAACTTGTAAACGTAGCTCGAAACATTTTGCTTTAAAGGTAACACCTGCACAGGTTATCTATATTCCAGGCTCGGGGTACTACCTTCCCTTCAAATGTTTCGGGCCGAGCTTTCCTACGTCGGGCTCAAGTACCATAACTTTCATGAGTATCGGGTCGCCAACCCTAAATTGGCGTCTCTTAACTCGGGCATTATAGTATTGGGCTACATGTTGTTGTTTGAATGTAGGCCAGGTCTCGTATTTCTTTTACCAGATTGAGATTTGCTTGTAAATCTTCTTCATTTGTCTCTTCAGTGAATGCTTTAGACTATAGCAT